ATGGCAGCCCCGCTCCATTGCGGCGCACCCCTCGCACTTTTCGCGTTCCTGTAGTGCGTTCCGCCTACAGCACCAGTGGCAGCGCCCACATGGCGGCCCCGCCGCACATCGGCACACCCTTCGCATGCTTCATGGCACCATGAGAATATCCCCTGAGGGCGGTACCTGCAACGACGGTACTCACAACTGCATGTGGTTGGGTCCTTCGCCAGGATGGCTTTCATGCGCGTCCAATACGAATCCAATACGAATCCAATAACCAGTACATGCGCCGGTCTCTGTCATGCTCGTTGCGTGTGCATAAATACGTTTAGGTTGTGTTTCCTGTGCGTTGTTTTTGTATATGTGCTATGAACGTTCCATACACGTCTCTGATTCGACTCATATACGCTTCATATATATATATATATATATATATATATATACTAGAACCACGCGCGCGCTTCGCGCGCGCTTAGGTTCTGTCGAGTCACAGACCCAGGAATCGTTGCGAGAAGAAATTGGTGACGCGAAGCGTCTTGGGGGCGTCCTTGGACGTCTGGGGTCTCCTGGGGCCTCTTGAGGGGCCTCCTTGGGGCCTCCTGGCGGCCTCTTGGGGCGGAAGGCTCGAGCTTGCGGTTCGTGGTCCCCCTCTGGGCCCCCTCTTGGGCCCGTCTTGGGGCCCTCTTGGGCCATCTTGGGCGCCTCTTGGGCCGTCTTGGGGCCCTCTTGGGCTGTCCTGGGGCCCTCTTGGAAGCTTCTTGGGCCGTCTTGGGGCGGTCTTGGGCGCCTCTTGGGCCGTCCTGTAACGTCGGAAAGCCCAAAAGGCGACTTTGTTAAAATGTACGTTTTACGAAGGGAATGGGCCAATTTTGCGTCTAGGGGCCCTCTTGGGACGCATGTTGGAGGCTTCTTGGGGCCTCTTGGGGGCGTCCTTGGACGTCTGGGGTCTCCTGGGGCCTCTTGAGGGGCCTCCTGGGGGCCTCCTGGCGGCCTCTTGGGGCGGAAGGCTCGAGCTTGCGGTTCGTGGTCCCCCTCTGGGCCCCCTCTTGGGCCCGTCTTGGGGCCCTCTTGGGCCATCTTGGGCGCCTCTTGGGCCGTCTTGGGGCCCTCTTGGGCTGTCCTGGGGCCCTCTTGGAAGCTTCTTGGGCCGTCTTGGGGCGGTCTTGGGCGCCTCTTGGGCCGTCCTGTAACGTCGGAAAGCCCAAAAGGCGACTTTGTTAAAATGTACGTTTTACGAAGGGAATGGGCCAATTCTTGCGTCTAGGGGCCCTCTTGGGACGCATGTTGGAGGCTTCTTGGAGCCTCTTGGGGGCGTCCTTGGACGTCTGGGGTCTCCCGGGGCCTCTTGAGGGGCCTCCTGGGGGCCTCCTGGCGGCCTCTTGGGGCGGAAGGCTCGAGCTTGCGGTTCGTGGTCCCCCTCTGGGCCCCCTCTTGGGCCCGTCTTGGGGCCCTCTTGGGCCATCTTGGGCGCCTCTTGGGCCGTCTTGGGGCCCTCTTGGGCTGTCCTGGGGCCCTCTTGGAAGCTTCTTGGGCCGTCTTGGGGCGGTCTTGGGCGCCTCTTGGGCCGTCCTGTAACGTCGGAAAGCCCAAAAGACAACTTTGTTGAAAATGTACGTTTTACGAAGGGAATGGGCCAATTTTTGCGTCTAGGGGCCCTCTTGGGACGCATGTTGGAGGCTTCTTGGGGCCTCTTGGGGGCGTCCTTGGACGTCTGGAGGCCATCTTCAGCATCTCGGAGCCCTCTTGGAGGCCTCTTGGAAGTTTCTTGGGCCGTCTTGGGCGCTTCTTGGGCCGTCTTGCCTGACTGGGGAGGCCTCCGGCAAGCCCCGACGAGCCTCCGGGCCCCCCGGGGTGCACATTTGCGGTCGAGGTCCCGGCCCCGGGCCCCCGGACCCGGTGCGCCGATATATGTATATATTTATATGTATATATATATATATATATATATATATATTATGCGCTCCATTCGCGTGTCGTATACGTTCTACTTACGAAACGCATACATGTACGTCATATGTATGTGTCGTGCCCGTTATCGGTACATTTCAGAAACACTTCATCTATGTGTCATAGACGTGACCGTTTGGCATACATGTCACATGCACTCATGAAGCATTCTGCATACTTGTCATATTCGTTTCTGCGAACTGACGGATACTCGTCCCACGCGCTCCGTAATTGTTTGATATCAAATTCCGCACACGTTTCGCATACATTCATACACTGCCGTCTTTGAGTGCCTTGAACCTGGAAGGCCCCCCTTGAGTACTAAGAGCAATCTAAACTCCAATTGCGCGCCGTGAAAGCCGAATGAGCTCCCTGAGGGGATACCAGTCGGTTTTCATTACCTGAGAGATCATGCAAAAACATAAACTTGCTTATGTTGCTCCCATCGTACTTAAGGACCACATCCCAGAAATAGTTTCGAGCACCCAGAAAAGTGTCGAAAGAGTGTCTCCCAGGGCTCGACACGTGAAAACCCTAGAATTTTGGGGTGTGTTCTTGGTGCTCGAAATTCATTCTGGTGATCAAGGCTAAAGTAGGTTGGAACATCATAGAACTTTGCATAACTTTGTCTGGCGGTTGGGGTCTGGACCGCTCCTGTCTTTGTTATCCGTTCGAGTCTGGACCGTCTGGTTGGACTCTGGAGCGTGCGGTTGGGATCTGACCCCATCGCCCTACCCGAAGCAGGGAAAAGACTACGAATTTCAGCGTCACGGGCAAGGGTAGACAAGCACGTCGGCACAGACACAAGATACAACGTCTGCTCCATCTCTGCGCAGCATCCACATTCGTTGAGTGGCCCAACCGCTCACGCGTGTCCCTTCCATCCTCCTCTTTATTCAGTGTGTGTGTGGTGATTCCTGCTGTCCTGCTCCACCCTCCCCCCCTTTCCCCTCGGCGGCGACGATAGGGGCGAATAGCTCAGGGGCGGGCATTACACGTATCCGCCCGGGAGCCTTTTCGAAGACATAGATCATCGGCGCACCTGAGTACATCTATTGCTCTGCCCTGGGCTATTCGCCCCTGTCGTCGCCTCCGATTCCCCCCCCCTGGAAGGGCCCGAGCTCTGGCGCGGGGCCTCCGCCCCGTCGGCCCGCGCGTGGGGCGGGACGTGCGGGGGCGGAGGCGTTTCGGGGGCGCGCGGCGCAGCGGCGCGGCGCGGACGGATGCGGGGGGGGGAGGAGGAGTGGGAGGGGCGGCGGCGGGATGCAGGGGGTGGGAGGACGAGGGAGGGGCACGAGGGGGAAGGCGAGGAGGAGAAGGGGGGGCGGAGGAAGGAGGGGGGAGTGAAGGACAGGGTGGGACTGGCTCAGGGGCTCCGGGGCAGAGGCGTCGACCCGGAATCGGCGATACGTCGCCGATAGATCAACGATGGGCCCCCGATTGTGAAACCGCACTTTCCTGGGAGAAGTTATCGGGCCCCTATCGGCGATGAGTGGGCGACTGGGGGTCGGTGCGTTTCCCCTGAGCCGAACCCCGCCCCAGACGTTGCCCCTGAGGACGGAGGAGGATGGCGAGGAGGAGAAGGAACGAGGAGTAGCGGAAGGAGGACAGCCAGGCGGAGGAGGGGGAGGATAAAACAGAGGGGGGGGAGGATGGCGAGGATCAGAGGGACAAGGAAGGTTATTGTCATCATCAGCATCATCACCACCATCACCATCATCATCATCAGCAGCAGCATCATCGTCATCGATTTCGTCATCGTCGTCATCGTCATCGTCGTTGTCATCGTCGTCATCATCATCAGCAGCATCAACACCATCATCATCATCATCATCATCATCATCATCATCATCATCATCATCATCATCGTCATCACCATCATCATCATTGTCGCCATCAACATCATCATCATTATCGTCATCATCGTCATCATCGTCACCATCATCAGCATCACCATCATCATCATCTACCACCTATCATCTAGATCACCATCAATCAACAACATCACCATCACCATCATAATCACCGTCACAATCACCGTCACAATCACCATGACTATCAGCATCATCACCACCACCATCATCATTAGTACCACCATCATCATCATCATCATCATCATCATCATCATCATCATCATCATCATCATCATCATCATCATCATCACGATCACCATAACCATCACCATCACAATCACCTACACCGTGGCGCCAATGTCGGAGGCTGCGGACGTCCTGGGCCTCCCCTAGTGCTCATTAGCCATGCGGGGGCTCAGGCTCTCCCTGCCTCCTCCTCTTCCTCCTCCTGCTCCCCCCCCCCACCTTCACCTCTCTCTCTCCGAACATTGCCCGATGGACGGCAGAAGCAACATCACCTCCGTCACCATGACCATGAAATCACCATCATCATCATCAGCAACATCACCATCGTCAGCACCAAAATCATCATCATCAGCAGCATCAGCACAATCATCATTCATCATAATCCTCGTCTTCATGCTCATCATCATGTACAGTCAATTCATTACAATCACCATCACCATCCTGCACATCATCATCATAAACATCAGCATCATCACCACCACCATCACCATCACCACCATCATTATCATGCGTATCGTCATCATCACCATCACAAGCATCGCCACCACTACCATCATAGTCGTCGCCAGCATCATCACCATCATTACCATCACCATCATCAGCACCATCATCAGAATCACCATCACCATCATCATCGTTGTCGGCCTCGTCTTCGTCATCATCATCATTATCATCAGCATCAGCATCATCATCAGCATCATCAGCATCATCGTCACTATCGCCTCCACCACCACCAGCATCAGCACCATCATCATTATCATCATCACCGCCATCGTCATCATCATCATCATCATCATCATCATCATCATCGTCGTCATCATCACCATCATCAGCACCAACACCAACATCAACGCCACCACCACCAGCATCACCATCACCTCCTCCATCATCGTGATCACCATCGTGGTCATGACCACTACGATCATGCCCGATCGGCGTCGCAAAGGGTGGGCGGCGTGGGGCGGGACCAGCCTCAATCGCCGCCTCGGCGTCGGCCGCCTTCTGCTTCGGGACCGCGGTGGCCGCCTCTGGAGGGGCCCCGCACGAATCCCAACGTAATTTACCTAACCTTAAGTCGGGCCTGTCCAGGCCGATTTTGGACGAACAAAAAAAACGAATAATGCACAACGAATGCTCAAAAATGGTCAAAGCATAGCCCCCAGACCATTTTTTGACAGTTCTTGAAGTTTCCTCCCGTGGAGGGACGGGCCCGACTGAAACCTAACCCGAGGCCTCCGAGGAGACGATTTGTCAAGTCGGGGCGTTTCTCCTCGAGTTCGGCCCCTGGGAGCGGCGCAACTGCTGTCGCTTTCCTGGGCTCCTGGGAGGCACGGCGGAGGTGACGGCCACGCGGATCGCTTCGAGACTTCGCGGCTCCCTCGGGGGCTGCGGAAGTGCGCAACTGCTGTCGCTTGCCTGGGCTCCTGGGAGGCACGGCGGAGGTGACGGCCACGCGGATCGCTTCGAGACTTCGCGGCTCCCTCGGGGGCTGCGGAAGTGCGCAACTGCTGTCGCTTGCCTGGGCTCCTGGGAGGCACGGCGGAGGTGACGGCCACGCGGATCGCTTCGAGACCTCGCGGCTCCCTCGGGGGCTGCGGAAGTGCGTCACCGTCCCCACGTTCGCGGTCTCCTGGGAGGCACGGCGGAGGTGAGGGTCGCACGGAAGTCTTCGGGACCTCCCTTGGATGCCCTGGAAATCTGATTCAGCCCTCCTGTGTGTCGGGTCCTGGTGTTGAAAAGGGCACTGTGGTTTCCAAGTCTGTATCTGTCCCTCCCCCTCTTCTGCCTCCTTGCTCGCCACTGTCGTGAGTTCTTCAGAGGCACGGTGCAGTGCAGGGCCATGCGGATCACTTCGAAACCTCGCGGCTCCGACGGGGGGCTGCGAACTGCGTAACTGTCGCCCCCATTTCCTGGGCACCTGGGAGGTACGGCGGAGGCGAGGGCAGCGAAGACCGTGCACAGCTCGCGGTGTGGTCTTTTTGTATGGAGCGTCCACGGCTGTGTGCGTCTCAGGTACTTTGCGCATCCTGGGCCTGCTTGACGCGACGCCGAGGCATCTTCGGCAATCCAAGGAGCCCCCTGGAGCCACCTGGAGCCGTGCTGGCGCCTTCTGCGAGCTCCCTCGGGCGGTCTCAGACGCCTCCTGGAGGGCCGAAGGAGGCGAGGCTGCAACTGCAAATCAACTGGGGAACAATGTCTCGAAGCGGGGTGGGCCCGGGGATCCCTGGCACCCTGGAATGCGATAGGTGTGTGCGACAACTACGTCTCGGACGTCAGATGGACTGGGCTGTCCTCGCCGTGGAGCGAAACGGAACAGCTCACGTGAGCACGCAACTCGTCTGATCCGATCTGCCTCCTCGTGTCCCTCCTCCTCCTCCTCCTCCTCCTCCTCCTCCTCCTCCTCTTCCTTCTCTTCCTCCTCCTCCTCGTGTCCCTCCTCCTCCTCCTCCTCCTCCTCTTCCTCCTCGTGTCCCTCCTCCTCCTCCTCCTCCTCCTCCTCCTCCTCCTCCTCCTCCTCCTCCTCCTCCTCCTCCTCTTCCTTCTCCTCCTCCTCCGCAGGGTGGCGGGGACGCCTGGTTGTGCCAGTACGCGAAGAGGCCAGTGAGGAACACGGCGTCCTGCACGCCGACTGATGCCCCAACGGAGACATCGTTCCTCTGTCTTGCTGTTGCTGCTGCTGCTGCTGCTGCTGCTGCTCCCGCTGCTGCTTCTGCTAATGCTGCTGTTCCTCCTCTTCCTCATCTCCTTTCTGCTCCTACCACCGGGCAAATGAAGCCGGTGCATCGTCGGCGACCCCGCGCGGCCAGGAGTCCTGGGGCACAAAGTACACGACGGCCGCGATCATGCACTTCACCTGAGCACCCCCATCCACAGAGGGGAGACATACTGGTCTTCCTCCTTCACAGTCTGGTTCTCTAAATCATCCTACTCATCACAATCATCGTCATCATCACCACCATCTTCACCATCATGATCATCGTGTGCCTCCACATCCCCTCCTCAACATCCTCGTCAGCCTCATCCTCCTCATTCTTATTATCCTAATCCTAATCCTCATCCTCCTCCTCCTCCTCCTCCTCCTCCTCTTCATCATCATCACCATCACCACCACCACCACCACCACCACCACCACCACCACCACCACCATCACCATCACCATCACCATCATCATCATCATCATCATCATCATCATCATCATCATCATCATCATCATCATCATCATCATCATCATCATCATCATAATCATCATAATCATCATCATAATAATCATCATCATCACCATCACCATCACCATCACCATCACCATCACCATCATCATCATCATCATCATCATCATCATCAATACAATCATCATCATCACCACCATCATCATCACTATCATACTCATCAGCATCATCATCAACATCATCATCATTAGCGTCATCATCATCATCATCATCATCATCATCATCATCATTATCACCATCATCATCATAATCATCATCACCATGATCAACAGCACCATCACCAACAGCACACCAATCATCACACGCGCCTCCATCCTGTGCTGTCTTGTCTGGTGGTGCGCTGCCGGTAGACCACTCACGTCATCGTGCGCCCCTCCCCCCCATCCTCCCCCCTCCGTCTTCCTCCTCTGCCTCCACCTCTGCCTCCACCCGGGGGGAGAGGAGCAGCAAATTCTTCGGACGTGCTGTCTGCTCCGAAGTGCTCGGGAAGGGCGGGGCATCCAAGAAGCGGGTCGGGAGCCTCGCCCTCGGGACGTGGGAGGACGGGGCCCGAGGCCCACGCGTCGCGCCTCCTCCTCCTCCTCCTCCTCGTCCTCCTCCTCCTCGTCCTCCTCCTCCTCCTCCTCGTCCTCCTCCACCTCCTCGTCCTCCTCCACCTCCTCCTCCTCCACCAACTGCTCCTGCTGCGATCGCCACCATCACCACCATCGCAATCGCCTGCCTGCTTCCGCGGCAGCGTTTGAGACGGTGGACGGGGGCGCAGACACACATCATAATCATCATCGTCACACAAATCATCGTCACACATCTCATGATCCGCAACAGCGTCGTCATCATCATGGTCGTCGTCATCATCATTAGCATCATCCCCATCAGCCTCGGCATCAATATCGGCAATCATCACAGTCACCATCATCATCATCATCATCATCATCATCACCACCAGCCTCAGCACCAGCATCAGCATCACAACCAACGCCAGCACCATCACCATCACCATCATCATCACCATCACCATCACCACCATCAACACCACAATCACCATCACCATCACCATCACCACCACCATCATCATCATCATCAGCAGCATCAGCATCCCCATCATCATTACCATCATCATCATCACCGTTACTATCATTACCATCATTGCCATCATTCTCATCATTGTCGTCATTATTGCCAATATTATCATGATCATAATCATCAGTTTCAGTATCATAATCATCATTATCATCAATATCAGCATCAACATCATCATCACCATCATCATCATCATCATCATCATCATCATCATCATCATCATCAGCACCATCATCAACACCATCATCATCCTTATCCTCCTCTTTTTCCTTCTCGTCGTCGTCGTCGTCACCATCCTCTGGGGAGCTAAGGGCCGAGCGAACAGGCTGTCCATGCGGATCGAGAGCGGCCTGCGCGCTGGCCGGGCTCCTCTGCCGTCGCCGCTCCTCCCTCCTCCGCCTTCCCTCGGGCCAGCTTCCGGGGGACAGGCACCCCTGCAGCGGGAGGACGAGAGAGGGCTGGCAGGCCAGGAGCAGGGGGAGGGACCGAGGGGGAGAGGGGGAGCGATGGGGGGAGAGCGGGGAGCGTGGGTGAAGTCGGGCCTGTCCCTCTACAGGGGAAATGTTCAAAAACAGTCCAAAAACAGTCCGGGGACCATTTTTGGAATATTTGTGGGCATCCTGGATGAGTACTGTTTGCGTATTTTTCATGTTCCGTCCAAAATCCCCCTGGAGGGGGACAGGCCCGACTTGAAGCGAGGGGGAGAGGAGGGAGGGGAGGAGGGCGAGGAGAGGGAGCGAGGGGGCGAGGGGAGCGAGGGAGGGGGGCGAGGGGGAGAGGAGGGGGGCGAGGGAGGGGGACGAGGGGGCGAGGGAGGCGAGTGCCTCCCGGCCCCGCTCGCGCGCGCCTCCGCACGTGGCCGCGGGACCTGCTTTCGCGCGGGCGCGGCCCGCGGGGGGGGGGGGGGGGGGGCGTCTTCCGCCTCTTTCGGGGATGGACAGACCTCACTTTAGCAAAACGTGGTTTAGTGAAAACGACCTGAGGCCCAAACCTGGCGGGCGCATGCCTGGGAAATAACGGCCACGGCGCCCTCTCGAGAACCGAAAACGGACAATTCACTAATCGACGTGTCACTGTTGGGGGTTCTGCCCACCCCCGACTCTTCTTTTAAGTCGGGCCTGCCCCCCTACAGGGGGATTCTGGACGAAAAACGAAACATACGCAAACAAAAAAAATCCAAGGATGCCCCAAGAATGCTCCAAAAACAGTCCCGGGGCTACTTTTGTGGACTGTCTTTGGCTATTCCCCCTGCAGAGGGACAGGCCCGACGTAACATGCAGTTAACCCGCGTAGTGAGGATGCGCGATAAGGATGCAAGGGCCTCGGACGCCCATTTCGAAGCTTCCCGAGCGGGCGCGGCCAGCGAAAGCGGCCAAGGCTGGGCCGAGAAGGCAAGGATGTCAGGGTACCCTTGGGCAGGTTGCCCATCCTTACTATGCGGGTTGACTGTGCAGGGGGATTTTGAACGAAAAAAAACAGATAGTCAAAACATACTCAAAAGATGCCCAAAGATACTCAAAAAACAGTCCCCGGACCATTGTGTTGACTGCTTTTGAATATCCCCCCTGCAGAGGGAACGGGCCCGACGTGACCTTTCTTCTCGGGCAAGCTGCTGGGCGGACAAACGGGCGCGCAGGGCAGACGCCTCGAGCTTGGTCGCGCACGGGCGAAGCCGGCCGGCAGGCATGGGGGCCAGTGCACAGGAGCGCCCGCGCTCCCCAGAGTCGCCAGGGACCGAACGCCCCCTTCCTCTTCCCCGTGCTCCTCCCCTAGTCGCCCCAGGAGCACGAGCGGTGACCCTCTCTACTTCCCGCGACCGACGTGCCGAAGTCAAGCTCCAGGCTTGGGGTCTTGCTGCCACGGTGCGCAACACCTCCGTTTGCCAAGATACATGCTAAAAACCGCGCAGGCCTAGTCTTGACTTCGTTCGACCGAGGTGCAGGTTGTTCGACCAGTTGACCTTGGCCGCCTGCATCCAGATCTGCTCGAAGCCGTTCGAGGCGAGGTCCGCCCGCCGGAGCACCTCGCCCGTGGATGTGCTGGCCTCGCCCTGCGCGTGCAGCCTCAGCCACTGCACCAACGCCCTCGCGTACTGCACGCCTCGGGGATGGACAGACCTCCCTTTAGTAAAACGTGGTTTCGTGAAAACGACCCGAGGCCCAAACCTGGCGGGCGCAGGCCTGGAACATGACGGCCGCGGCGCCCTCTCGAGAACTGAAAACGGACAATTCACTCATCGACGTGTCACTGTTGGGGGTTCTGTCCAGCCCCGAACGCCCATCTCGTAGGAGCGCGGGCTGCGCGTCACCACGAGGCTGAACTGCACCGGGTCGACCAGCAGCAGGTCGGCGTCGGTGGCGGCCGTGAGCGCGCCCTTGTGCTCCCAGGCGTGCACCCACAGCACCGGCTCGGCCACCCAACCTTCTCGGGAGACTCTCCATGGGATCCCCAGGGGATCCTATGGGATCCCCCCTCCTGGGAGCCTATCCCCCCACGGGATCCCCCCCCATGAAGAGTCTCCCGACCTTCATCAGCCTGGCTCACCATCGTGCCCACCTGATCCCCGTTCGGCTGGTACCAGAGCTTGCCGGACACCCTGAAGAACATGTTCACGGCGGGCTCGCTGGGCACGAAGAGCAGGTCGTGGCGCGCCGCCTTGTTCTCCCGGATGGCCGAGTGCGCGACGCGCTGCATGGTGAGCGGGCTGGCCTCGCTGAGGTTGAGGAGGAGCGGGTGCACCTTCAAGCTCGGCATGTAGATCTCCAGGTCAAGCTCCCGGCTGAGTGGCTCCGAGAGCATTGCCAGCAACCGCACCCTGTTCGAGTGGATACCCTTCTGCTGCCGCGCCCACGCGTGCTCCAAGTACTTCTCGATCCGGAGTGCCAGCGTGGGCTGCACGCGGAAGTGGGTCAGGTAGCGGCGCAGGTCCCAGAACATCTTCGCACTCCCCTCCGATAAGCTGCGGAGCTGCGTTAGCGACCCAGTGATGCTGCCGACGATGTAGGCGAAACCCACCAGCGCGAAGACCACCACACAGATGGCCGTGACCCGCTCAGCCATGTTCTTCGGGGCGATGTCGTTCGTCGACGGGGTGAACTGCGTGATCGACCAGTGGAATGCGAGCGCATATTGGTACGGCCAGTCTTCCTCATCGTAGCCGTGGACGTTCACCCAGGTTGGCTTCCCGTCCTGCGTGTCACTGACGAGAAACCACATGCACCCAATCATGTGGCAGAATGCCAGCACGAGCGCTATCATCTGCACGATGTGAATCAGGATGCTGACGTATTCGCTCTCGATTGCGTAGTAGACGCTCTGGAGGAACCTCCGCAATTTCATCAGGCGCACCAGCCGTGCCATGCGGCTCAAACGAAGAATGCGCACCACCCCGGTGTGGCTCTGGCCGACCGAGTTTACGTCCTCGCCTCCTTCGTTGATGATGATGAATGTCCAATCCGGCACGAGGATGAGGACGTCCAGGATGAACCAGGTCTTCAAATAGTGCAGCAGAATCCTCCGCATGTCCATCACCATGTGCCCATGGGCCACGTAGCCAACGCACAGGGAGGCTGGCATGTTGATCGTCCAGAAGATCAGCGTGATCCAGTCCATCGATATCACGAAGTCATTCTTCTGAAACTTGAAGACCGCCAGCGGAAGCATGACGACGTCGTAGATCACCAGAATAGCCGCCACGCAGTCCCAGAGGATGCGCGACTGGCTGTTGGGATACTGCGGGAACCACCTCTTGGAGCCCTTCTGGGACTCCATGTCCTCCGAGTCCGGCTCCACCGTCACCCCGCCCCAGATGGAGTTCATGCCCATGTACGACGCCTCGTTGGCGACAGACCTGGTGGAACAGTCCTTCGAGTGCGCCGGCTTCAGCCAGTGGGCCTGGAGCGTGAACTCCTGCCCGGACGTGGCGTGGTGCTCCCTGCCGCCCACGAGCTCCGACGCCCGACCGCCCTCGTCGTGCCGCTCGCCCGAGGAGCAGCGGGGGTCGTCGCCGTCCTCTGGCCATCGCTCGGACGTCCATTCCCTGTGCTTTGTTCGGTTTCGTGCGTGGTTGTTTCGCCAAATGATCAAGGATGCTCCTCGATGGTCCTCGCCGAAGGAAAACTGCACACGTCCCAGCGATGCCAAGTCCTCGGCGACCATGGCCAGCACCGGGGTCCCGGCGCCGGGGCCGGCGTGCGGCTCTGCCCGGGCCGCCGCCGCCGTGGGCCCGAGGCCCTCCTGCAGGGAAGCGGAGCATGGCATGAGCACAAAAACACTCGGAGGCCCGCGCGGATTGCTCGGATCGGCGCTGGGGACCCCCCTGGCGGCGCCTCCGGCGCCGCCCCTGGCGCGCTCCGCGCGCCAGTGAGGAGCGCGCGCCAGCGCCAGAGCGCGGAGCGCGGAGCGGGAGCGCGGAGCGCGCGCGGAGCACGCCAGGGGCGGCGCCGGAGGCGCCGCCAGGGGGGTCCCCAGCGCCGATCCGAGGCATCCGCGCGGGCCTCCGAGTGCTTTTGTGCTCATGGCACTGCTCGTTCCCCTGTCTTGGTTGCTGCCGGAGGCGGTCAGGCCCTGGACGCCGACGGTGTCGGGAGCGGCCAAGAGGGGGGTGTCCAAGAGGGGGGGGTGCAAATCATGACCGGCGGCATGTTTGCGGCCCAGCGGGGGGGCCAGGGACGTGATGAAATAAGAAGGGGCGCTCTGAAGTCTGGGGAAATATCATGGCCCACGCTATGAGATCCACCCCCCCCCTCGTCTGAGGTCGGGCCTGTCCCCCTACAGAGGGACTCTCGACGAACAATGAAAGATACCCCCAAGAATACCCCCAAAAAGGGCGAACAAAATACACCCCAAAACTAGTCCCCAGACGATCTTTGGACAACTTTTGGATTATTTTTGGTGGTATTCTTTTATCTTTCGTCGAAAATCCCCCCTGTAGGGGGACAGGCCCGACGTAACCCCCACCGAGGGATTTTCGACGAAACATGAAAAACACAAACAAATACACCCAAAAAGGGCAAACAATACTCGGACTATTTTTGCACTATTTTTTGACCAACAAAAAAAAAGTCGAAAGTCCCCCCCTGGAGGGGGGACAGGCGCCCGAGGCAACCCCTGGCCCTCGCCCCCCTCCCTGCCGCCCCCGACGGTGGAGCGGCGCGCAGCGCTGCCGCCCCCGCCGGGGAGCGCCGCGCCCGCCGTGGCCAGGGCCCGGCCCCGCGGCCCGAGCTGCGCCCGCGGGGCGGCGCTGTCCACGCGCAGCGCGCGCGCCTCCTCGGGGGAGCCCCAGGACACACACAGAGAGGCACACAGACGCAGACGCAGACGCAGACACAGGCACAGACACAGACGCAGACGCAGACACAGGCACAGGCACAGACACAGACACAGACACAGACACAGACACAGGCACAGGCACAGACACACACACAGACACAGACACACAGACACACAGACACACAGACACACAGACACACAGACACACAGACACACAGACACACAGACACACAGACACACAGACACACAGACACACAGACACAGACACAGACACAGACACAGACACAGACACAGACACAGACGCAGGCACAGGCACAGACACAGGCACAGGCACAGGCACAGGCACAGACACAGACACAGACACAGACACAGACACAGACACAGACACAGACACAGACGCACAGACACGCAGACGCACACGCACACGCACATACACACACAAAAAAAAATACACACAAAGAACAATATTCCCCATATGTTCCGTTATTTCGGGGCTTTTTGTCTTCCCCCCCACTTCCCAGGTTTTCCCGTATCTTTCCCCCCCCAACTGTCCCCATGTCCCTCCTGTCGCTGGGGACGCGGGACGCCCACAGGCGCGACCCCTCAGCGCCCACGGATGCAACACGATGTGCTGCACACTTCAGAGGCCCTGTTGGCCAAAGGCTTGCTCGATAGCGAAGCCTCCAGCCAGCACGAATTCTCCCTCGGAGCCGACGGTCCACTGTGTCTGTGTGCTTCTTCCCCTCCGGACTCCTCCACCTCCGAGTCGTGCACGGCCGCGAGCCGCTGCAGGAGCTCGTGGAAGCCCTGCGAGCCGGGGCCGCCGGCGAGCGGCGCCCCGTCCTGCGGGCCCGCGGGCTCCTGCCACGCCACCTGGCGGAGGCCCGCCTCCTGCGGCCTCGGCGCCTGCCACGGCGGCCGGAACCCGTCGAGGAGCTCGTCCTCGGCGTCCGCCTCCGGCTCCTTCAGGAAGTCCTTGAACTTCCGGATCATGCGTGCGCCGCGGATCTGCGCCATGACCCTCTGGCGCGAGGCCCCCGCGCCCTGCACGGCGCTGCTCCGCGGCTGCGCCGACGGCCGCGCCTCTGCGCCGTGCTGCGCCTCCGGGTCTTGGGGCTCGGCGCTGCGCCCGGGCTCCTCGTCCGGGGCGCCCCAGGCGTTGCGCCCGCCGCCCACAGCCAGCGCCGCCTGCAGGGTCGGAGGCTGGGCAGAGGGGCTCGGCGGCATGGCCCGCGCCATGGCGCAAAAGCGCACCCCGCCGCCGAAGAGAAGCGAAGCCCTGGCCGAGGCCCCCTGTGCCCCGACGCGCGGGCGAATCCCGCCGCGCGCGCGCGGGCTCGGTGCGCGGGCGCGCGGGCGCGGACGGCGCAGGCGCGGACGCTGCTGGAGCCAAACTGGGTGCGGAGCTCCTCAGCCACCGCCTGCTCCCATGAAGGGGCCCGGGGAGGCACAAACGATTAGACACCGTTTCCAGGATCCCCCGTATCTTTCAACCCTTGCTGGATTTGTCTGTTTCTCCTCCGCCGCCCATCGGCTCCCACATCTTCCTGGGCATCGACGTTGAATCCCGACAATCAAGAATCCTGTGGTGTTGGGTCCTCGCTTTGAAAAGACTGTCCCCGCGTCTCTCCTCTCCTCTCCTCTCCTCTCCTCTCCTCTCCTCTCCTCTCCTCTCCTCTCCTCTCCTCTCCTCTCCTCCCGCTCCACCTCCTCCTCATCCTCCTCCTCCTCCTCCTCCTCCTCCCCCTCCTCCTCCTCCTCCTCCTCCTCCTCCTCCTCCTCCTCCTCCTCCTCCTCTCCTCCTCCTCTCCTCCTCCTCCTCCTCCCGTTACCCCCTCACTTTCATATCCATCACACCTGTCGTGGCCCCATAGGGAGGTGCAAACAAGTGGCACGCGTGCCATGGCTCTTGCACAAAACGGAGGGGGAAGGAGGAAAAGGAGGAGGAGGAGGAGGAGGAGGAGGAGGCGGAGGAAGAGGAGGAGGAGGATGAGGATTTTTTCACCTGGACCTTTCCTAGCCTGGTCTCAGGCTAGGACGCAAGCGGTGACCCCATGCGGTGGCTGACTTCGGCAGCAACCCACGGGCCCCGACAACAACGAACTATTTCGAGCCTCCTCTGGGCTCATAGCTCGCACGAGCAGCTTTCGCGCGAGGACCCTCCGCACCATCCTCACAGCTCAGCTCGCGGCCCCTCGCACCACTCTCGTTGGAGGGAGCCGAGGGAAAAGAATTCACAGCCTGCTGCTCTGACTCGGCTCGACTTGCGGCATGTCGAGCGGACTTGCTGGGCCGAGCATCGGCACCAGAAACAGAAGCGGGACGGATCCTCGACCCCTGCTCTGCAGGGGTCGAGTGGAACAACTGGGGAGTGGCAGCAGCTCCCACGACCTGCGCGACAGACGACTGGTCGACGACATCCTCGCGCTGCTGCCCATCTCCCGTGGAAGGCATTACGGTGTCAGCCTGCATAAGGGCGGTGCGGGCGGACTTGCACGGGCGCTCTTCAGGCCCACAGGAGCGCCTGCTCGCAGCAGGCTGAGAGTCGCGGGGAGATTGCGCTCCTGTCGGCTCCGAACATGCATGCCAGGGGAGGCTGAGCGACCCCTGAATTGTAGCCCCCTCACCCACGAGATGATTCTTGGGGGACGGACTGACGGCAATCGTGCCCCTGCAGTCAGAAACAGCCTGCAGGGGATCCTCGGAGTCGTGCATAGCCAGAGGATCTGAGACGGCTAGAGCGGCTTGCACTCTAGACGCCTGTGATGGGCCACTTGGGCCACTTGCTGAAATTGCTGCAGCAGCGGTATCGACAGACGAAGACCCAACGACAGAGTTAAGCTGCTGCAGCTCCTGGCTCGCAGGATGCACGGACGACGTCTCGACGACAATTTCTTCCTGCGAGCCAGGGTGTGCATCCACGACCTCTGGTGAGATTTCCACGGTCACACCTGGAAGTCGTGGGTGCCGACCCCTACATATTCTGTACTTCCATCTCTCAGCATTGTTTCTGGTTGGGCGGCCGCACTGCTTACCAAGGAGAGCCAGCGGACCCAAGGTAGAGACAGCCTTGCAACTAACACAAACGAACAGCGGCGAGTCATCGCTGCACTGGAACGATAAACACCAGTGTCCGAGGGCCGAGACCTGCCACAAGGTGTCGGGGATAACGCCGGTACAACCCTCACATGCAAGCTTGGCTGAGCTACCGAAAATGAACGGCGTGGGATGCTTCGTGCGCAAGCAAACGCTACAACGCCAATAGGAGCGGCACCACTCCCATACGTGCTCAAATTCAGTGTCAGGTTTCACGTTGATTTTCTTCGGGGACCTGGCCAGCTCAACCCCGCTGAGGTCGAGACGAGGCCACTGGGGCAAAATCCGAGCGGCCAGGCGGCAAACAGCCTTCGCAACGCTGATTTTTTCTAGTTGCTTGCGTGGGAAGACCCTGTGCACTGAATGCGCAGGAGGAAGAAAAAGAGGAAAAGGAGAAGGAGAAGGGGGGAGAGAGGAGGAGGAAGGAGGAGGGGGGGGGGAGAGAGGGACGAAATCGGAGAAGTCTGGGGGGGCGGGACGGCGGGGGCGGTGCGACGCAGAAATAAAATGGTCGGGGCGGAGGGGGGGCGGGGTGCACTGGGCGGGCGGGAGGGGAGAACGATCGTGGGGGCGGGACGGTGGAGGCCGTGCGACGCCGAAATAAATTGGTCGGGGCGGAGGGGGTCGCGGTGATAGTGGTGGTGGTGGTGGTGGTGGTGGTTGGTGTGGGTGGGTGGGTGGAGGCGCGGGAGGGGCGGGGCGGTGGGGGCGGTGCGACGCCGAAATTGAATGGTCGGGGCGGAGGGGGGCAGGGTGGGGAGGGCACTGGGCGGCTGGGGAGGGGGGAACGGTTGGAATGGCTGGACGGGGGGAGTGGTCGTGGCGGAGGGGACGGTGTGCGTCGCGACGCGGAATAAACTGGTCGGGGCGGAGGGGGCTCGGGGCGGGGATCCCTCTGGGGCGCTGGGGATGCGGGGGGCAGAGGGGGGGGGCAGGCGGTGTGCGTCGCGACGCGGAATATCATGCTCGGGGCGGAGGGGGCTGTGGGCGGGGCTCCGACGGGGGCGCTGGGGATGCAGCAGGGAAAGGGGGAGGTGCGTCGCGGCACGGAATGAAGTTGTCGTGGCGGAGGGGGCACGGGGCTGGGCTCCTACTGAAGCGCTGGAGATCTGGGAAGAGGGAAGGGGAGGAGGTGTGCGTCGCGACGCGGAATAAAGTAGTCGGCGCGGAGGGGGCACTGGGCGGGACTCGGGGCAGAGGGCCACGGGGCGGGGGTCCCGCTGGGGCGCTGTGGACGTGGGGGGTGGGAGGGGGGGAGGTGGTGTGCGTCGCGACGCGGAATAAAATGTTCAGGGCGGAGAGCGACGGGGCGGGGGTCCCACTGGGGCGCTCGGGATGCAGGGTGGGTTGGAGGGGCCACGGGGCGGGGGTCCCACTGGGGCGCTGGGGATGCGGGGGGAAGAGGGGGGGCAGGAGGTGTGCATCGCGACGCGGAATAAACTGCTCGGGGCGGAGGGGGCTGTGGGCGTGTGCGTCGCGACGCGGAATAAAATGCTCGGGCCGGAGGGGGCTGTGGGCGGGGCTCCCACGGGGGAGGAGGGGAAGGTGGGTGTGCGTCGCGACGCGGAATGAAGTGGTCGGAACTCTAGACACCTTGTGCAAGAGGATCAGGCCCCAATGACTGCGCCCGCATGCCGCCAACCCCTCATCTTGACACACACACACACACACACACACACACACACCACACGTTCCGTGGTCCCATAGGGAGCTCCACCTAAGGCCCCAATGGCTGCGTCCGCATGCCGCCACACCCTCACTATGGCACACACCTCACACGCTTCGTGGCTCCATAGGTAGCTACACCGAAGGCCCCAATGGCTGTGCCCGCATGCCGCCACCTCCTCATTTTGGCACACCCCTGACACGTTTCGTGGCCCCATAGGGAGCTAAGGACCGTGTGGCTGCGCTCGCATGCTGCCCTCCCCTCACTTTGGCACACTCCTCGCACTCTTCGTGACCCCATAGGGAGCTACACCTAAGGCCTCAATGGCTGCGCCCGCATGCCGCCATACCATCCAAGTTTCGTGGCCCCATAGGGAGCTCCACCTAAGACGCCAGTTGCTGCGCCTGCATGCCGCCACCCCCTCACTTTGGACACCCCCCTCACCTCTGTTCAAGCATTTTGGTGCTCCGTCGGGAGCTTTACCGATGGCAATTCTCACACTGGCGGTACTCCCAACTGCATATGGTTGGGCTCTTCGCCAGGATCATGCGGTTTCCGTCCTGATCCTCCATGTCCACCTCTGTCACTACGAAGCGGCATCACTCGCCGAGAGAAAACAACAAACACCGTGGCGGCGACGATGTAGGCCTGCCAAGACTGCGTTCCTACAAGCAGCACGCCGCACCACTCTCTCGTCCATCACTCAGCGCCAGCCCGTCATGGATAACAGACAGACGCCATGCACAACATGGGTGCGTTGGCAGAAGATGTGAGACATACTAGACAATTGGGTGAAACGGCAAGCGTGCTAAGCATAGGAGGAGGAGGAGGAGGAGGAGGAGGAGGAGGAGGAGGAGGAGGAGGAGGAGGAGGAGGAGGAGGAGGAGGAGGAGGAGGGGACTGAACAGCTATAGTGGCTGAAGGCGGAAGCGCTTGAGATCCGACTGAGTCAGGCGCTTCTCGATACCCGGCTCCGGTGGGTCCCCATAGTCGGCTGTTGCCAGAGGATGCGCTTTGCACGGTCGGCAGGCCGAGTGAATGTTAGGGCAAGACGAAGTCTGCCAGATGTGAATCTAGCGCAGCTCAGAGTAGGAATTCAAGCTAAGGGCACCTTCAACTCTGTGCTAGACACGAGCTGACACTTAGAACAAGCTCATCGGCAACTGAATAACAAGGAGGGATCTGCTCACGTTTATGTGCGCTGCTCTGCGTCGATGCGCACTGTCTTCAACCATCATGTAGAATTGGGTCCTCGTGTTGAACAAACAACCCCCCGCGTCTCTCCTCTCCTCTCCTCTCCTCCCGTCACCCCCCTCACTTTGGCACACTCCTCAAACGTTTCGTCGCCCCATCTGGAGCCACATCTAAAGCCCGAATGGCTGCGCCCGCATGCCGCCACCCCCTCACTTTGGCACACCCCTCATACGCTTCGTGGCCCCATTGGGAACTACACCTAAGGCCCTAGTGGTTGCGCCCGCATGCCGCCACCGCCTCATTTTGGCACACCCCTCATACGCTCCCTGGCCCCATAGGGAGCTACACCTAAGCCCCCTTTGGCTTTACGCCCGCATGCCGCCACCTCCTCGTTTTGGCACACCCCTCACACGATTCGTGGGCCCATAGGGAGCTACACCAAAGGCCCCAATGGCTGCGCCCGCATGCCGCCACCCCCTCACTTTGCCACACCCCTCATACGCTTCGTGGCTCCATGGGGAGCTACACCTCAGGCCCCGGTGGCATGGTTCGCATGCGCTTCCTCCACCCAGTACAGCGTTTCGTGGCCCCACAGGGAGCTCCACCGAAGGCCCCAGTGGTGGCGTCCGCATGCCTTTCCCCCACGTAGCACAACGCTTCGTGGCCCCATCGGGAGCTCCACCGAAGGCCCCAGCGGCGGTGCCCGCGTGCGCTTCCCAGCACAATACGGCGATTCGTTCCCCACGGGGAGCTCCGATGAAGGCCCCAGTGGCATGGCTCGTGGCCCCATAGCCAGCTTCACCGGATGCCCCAGTGGCGATGTCCGCGGGCGTCTCCCCCACCCAGTACAGCGTTTCGTGGCCCCATAGGGAGCTCCACCGAATGCCCCAATGGCGATGCCCGCATGTGTTTTCCTGAACAAAAGTGCAGCTTTCCGTGGCCCCATAGGGAGCTCCACCGAAGGCTCCAGTGGCGGTGTCCGCATGCGATTCAGCGCTCGTGGCCCCATAGGGAGCTCCACCGAAGTCCCCCGTGGCGGTGCTCGCATGCCCTTCCCCCAGCCAGTACAACGGTTCGTGGCCCCATAGGTAGCTCCACCGAAGACCTCAATGGCGGTGTTCTCATGCGTTCCGCCGGCCGAGTGCAACGTTTCGTGACCCCATCGGGAGCTCCACCGAAGGCCCGAGTGGCGACGTTCGCATGGTGGCCCCGCCCCATTTTGGCACACCCCTCACGCGTTACGCGGCCCCATATGGAGCGCCACCGAAGGCCCCAATGCTTGCGCCCGCATGCGTCCCCGCCCCAATTCGGCGCACCCCTGACAAGCTTCGTGGCCCCGTGCAAAGATCCACCGGAAGCGATACCAACAACAACGATACTCACAACCGCATATGGTTGGGCCCTTTGCCAGGATCACTGTGCTGCTCCGTCATGTGCCATGCAGAGCTGTGCAATCTGTTTGCGTGACGTTGCATTGCGCGCGCTGTCTCTCAGGAAAAAGGAAGTCCTCGAAAAACGTGGTCGGGCAATCCTGAAGGAACCCAGTCGAAGATGCCGGTCGAAGCCGACACTCTGACACAGAAGACAGGACCCCTGAGGCAGAGCCTGACTGGGAATCAATCTAATGACGAGCCATGGCGGCAACGGCGAAGATGCGTCAAATCAGGCCAACGAGCTTCTGCGGCAACCGCAGTAGGGCCTGGATGCAAGGCAAGGCAGTAAGGGCATGTCTGGCTCATGCGCGCACAACGTGAGGCCCTTCTGGGCAAGGGCAGCAAGGGCAGCAAGGGCTTGGGCAAGGTCAGCAAGGGGATGTCTGGCTCCTGGCTCATGCACGCTCACGTCGGTTCCAAAGGCAGAAGCAAGCGCGGGGCGGCTGCTTCGGCGAGGTCACCGCCGCGAAGCCCCGCGTGGAACCAGCGGCGCCCATGCGCGAAGTCCTGGCAGCGCCAGACCCCCAGCCACCACCGCCCGCGGCAGGCCAAGCAACCCTGCTGCTGCCAAGTAGCTCACTCACTCACTCACTCACTCATTCACTCACTCACCCACCCACTCACTCACTCACTCACCCTCTCACTCACTCACACACTCACTCACTCACTCCGTGACGCGCAGTGCCTCTGATGCAACCTCAAACCTAAACCATGGCGAGCGGAGACACCATACACAATGCTGCGGTGGCCACTCCACTTCGAGAACACTGCTGCTGCTGCTGTTGCTGCCTCCGTGTCTCCTTACCCCCAATCCCCCGTGACACTGTTTTTCCAACTCCCACCCTCGAAATAATTGCCGCCCATGACCGATCTCCTGTGCCCCCCGAAGATGACAATGCTGCGTGTCTGGCGCGCACATGGCACAGAGTTCTGGCACGTGATCGGCACTGACTCGCGTGCACAAAGATCAGAGAGATCGCACCACACCCGAAGTGTCTCTACCAACCTGGCTAGACGCACATATCGAATCTCGTACGTACGCGGACGCTGCCATTCGCCAAACAAAGCCGCAACACCGCGTGCTCCATACCTACATACGCACTCACCCGTAAGTTAGGAAGCAACTACTGGGATTTGTTCGTCGGAAAGAGCCTCGCCAGTTGGGAGCTGTTACGCCGGAATGGGCCTCGGATTAAGCGGGATTAAGCCGGATTAAGCGGGATTAAGCCGGATGAAGCGGGATTAAGCGGGGCGAAGCCGGATTGAGCCGGATTGCGGACAAGGGCCAAATCAGAAGTTGACCTCCCAGGAGTGGCATCCGAACGCAAGGTTCGGCAAAGCATTAGTCGACTGCAGCTTGCAATGGTGCCCGCTGTAGCGCGCGCGGGAGGAGGAGGAGGAGGAGGAGGAGGAGGAGGAGGAGGAGGAGGAGGAGGAGGAGGAGGAGGAGAGGAGGAGAGAGGAGGAGGAGGGAGGAGGAGGAGGAGGAGGAGGGAGGAGGAGGAGAGGAGGAGGAGGAGGAGGAGGAGGGGGGGGAAGGAGGAGGAGGAAGGAGGAGGAGGAGGAGGAGGAGGAGGAGGAGGAGAGGAGGAGGAGGAGGAGGAGGAGGAGGAGGAGGAGCGCGCCCGCGTCGGGCACGTACGCTCCGCGCTCCACGGTTCGAGCGCGGGGTGCCCGAGCCCCCGCGTCGGGGCCCGGACGGGAAGCCCGCGCAGGCGAGCGACACCGAGCAGGAGCCCACGGGAAGAGGCCTTCTGGCGAGGGGAGCCAACCGCGTGCAGGAGCGAGCGCTGCGCGGGAGGGGACGAAGGACGGGGATATCCTCCTGGGGCCACGAATTACGTTGCTCCCATAATACCTAATGACCACATCCCAGAAACAGTTGCGAGCACCCAGGAAAGTGTCGAAAGAGTGTCTAAAGAGTGTCGAAACAGTGTCGGAAGAATGTCTCCCAGGGCTTGACACGTGAACACCCTAGAGTTTTGGTGTGTTTTCCTGGTGCTCGAAATTCATTCTGGTGATCAAGGCTAAAGTAGCTTGGAACATCATAAGCCACGAAGCGTGCGAAGGGTACGCCAACCTGGGCCTGGGAACGCATGCGGTTCCTGCCACTGCGGCCTTCGGTGGAGCTCCCCATGGGGCCGCGAAACGTGTGAGCGGTGCGCCAAAATGAAAGGAGCCTGGGGACACATGCGATTCCTGCTAGGGCCACGAAAAGCGGAAGGTTTGAGCCACGATGGGCCAGGGGACGCATGCGATTCCTGCCACTGGGGTCTTCGGTGGAGCTTCCTACGGGGCCGCGAGCAGTGTGAGGGGTGTGCCAGAATGGGTCTGGGGACGCATGTGATTCATGCCACTGGGGTATTCACTGGAGCTCCCCTTGGGCCACGAAACGTGAGGGGTGTGCCAGAATGGGCCTGTGGACGCATGCGATTCCTGCCACTTGGACCTTCGGTGGACCTCCCAGTGAGACCACGAAACCCGAGGGGCATGCAAAATGGGTGCGGTCACGCATGCGACTCCTGCCACTGGGGCGTGACGGTGATAGTGGCAAATTCGGACATGCGGAGGGCATAGGGCGGGATGGGAGCAGGGGGGGAGGAGGGAGAGGAGGAGTGAGGGAACGCGGGGCGCTGATGATTCGCAAAGGAGACCCCACACCACAGGATGGTTGGGAACGAGCTGGGGTGCGAGGGCGCAGCAGCGGGGCGCTGCAGCGGAACACTGCGACAGGACCTTGACGCCAGCGGCAAGCTCCTGGCGCCTCCCGTGGAAGGGAGCATCGCCCTGCGCGTGTCGACCGTGACGCACAACGCGCCACCGCGTGCCGAAGCTCGGTCACGTTCGACAGTGACGCTGCTGTTGTTCGGCCCTGCGTAGCCTCTCTCGCTCGCGCTGGCAAGGAGTTCGACTCCTTGTTTGCTCGGGTCTGCCCGACTGCCCCCGCGCCGTTGCGTGCACGTGCGCGCTTCTGATCTGGGACTGACGCTGCTGGTGCTCACGGTTCTCCAGGCGCCGCCACACCTCGAGGAAGTGCTGGGCTGAAGGGGAACACAGAACACAAGGCACCCAAGGCTCGCAGAGGATCATCAGTCGGCCCGCGCCTCGGCCGAGAAGGAAAGGGGTGGGAGGGGCGCTGCGACACGCTCGGCGCGCGAGGAAGGAGGCGTGCTCCCGAAGGTGGACGGAGCTGCGCACAGCAGGATGAGCTGCCCAATGTTCCGGCCCCACGAGTGGGCCAAATCTGTCGCAGACGTGGTGCGCAGAGGATGAAGAAAGTCACTTCCGGAGGGGGCGGCCGCTGGTGAGGCCTCCACTTGCGCACAGGCAGCCCCTCCTGGAAAGTCCGCCTGGCCGCAACAGGCCCCCCGAGCAGTCCGGGTCGGTCTCCACACCCCGGCCCTGGGGCGCGGAACGCCCCAGGGGCGCCGCCCGATGCGGCGCCAGGGGCTTGTCATCGCCCTGGACTACAGTGGGGGCTCGACCACAAGAAACCCTCCACAAGAAACTCGACCCTGAGACCCCAGGGCGTCCATGGACTTCTGGGGTGGGAAGGTCGCGCTGCTCCCCTGGCCAGACCATCGGAGGTCTGGGCACCTTGGAATCAAGCGAGGTGTTTTTTTGGCATGGGTTTCCACTGTACCTCTCGGGGACGGCAAAGAGGGGGGTGTCCAAGAGGGGGGGGTGCAAATCATGACCGGCGACACGTGCGCGGCCCAGCGGGGGGGGCAGGGACGTAATGAAATAAGAGGAGGCGCCATGAAATCTGAGGAAATATCATGGCCCCCGCCATGATATCCACCCCCCCCTAGTCATCACCCCCCTCTTTTCCAGCCGTTCTGGCCCAAGTTTTTGGGCTTGCAGCAGCAGTCTTCAGAGCGGCAGCCGCTGCTGCGAGTCATTGTGGCAACAGCGTTCTCGCGCCTCCCTGAGGCATCCTCTTCCGCGCTAGTGGAGCGCTCCATGGCAGATGGTGTCGATGTCTTGCCAGGACCGCGCACACCATTCTGGTCGTGTTCGTGTGGGCTCTTGTCAACTGGGCTTCGCGCCTGGTCTGTCGCTGCGGCAAACCCGCCCCCGTGGCGGTGGCCCAGGCAGCCCGCGGGAACGCAAAGCATGCTCAACGTACTACTGCTGGCGGTCAACAGCCTCGTCAGGGTCTCGGGGCTCGCACTGGCAGCATCACAGCGGCAAGGCTCTCCAAGCAGCTTGCCGGACTCCAGAAGAAGTATGATAAATTGGTTGGTAACGGCAATGGTGGTAGTACTAACAGGCGGGCCTCCTGTCGGCGCTGGTACTCCCCCAGAACCGAGTGAAGGTGAACGTAAGGAACAAGCGCTACGTGACAACATCAAACAGCTGGAACAGGCCCGCACCGCGGTGGAGAAGGTGCCCAACAGTGATGAGGCCAAGGCTGTTCTGGATGCGCAGTTGTCTGAGGCGCGCAAGCAGCTATCTAGCCTCAAGCCTGAGCTCACGGTCCACACCAACATTGGGCACCGTTTGCAGCGGGCTGAGGCCAAGGTCGAGAAGATATCAGCTCAAGTCTCCGAACAGCTCGACGTTCTTCGTTTGGCTCAGGAGGAGTTGGACAGCCTGCAATCGCAACACTTGTTGGCGTCTAAGGAGGTGGAGCAGCTACGTGGTGAGCTCGTGGCGACACTCCCATCCTCTGTGGCCCAGAAAGATGGCGGGCTCGATATGCAGGACTTGGCGGAGAATGATGACGAGCAGGCGCAGCTGGATGCACTCTTTCAGTCTTCCCACTTCAAGCTCTACCAGGAGGCCCCCGCGAGGAAGGCCAAGGCGAAACAGAAGAGTTCCCGTGCTGCTACTTCGCCCTTCGATCAAGATGGCGATGTTCGCATGGGCGAGCGGAGTGGGCCACCTGCAGCGGCGCGCGATACAGCTACTGCCAGTGGTACCCATCCTGCCGCTGCCGCCCACGATGGAGCAAGTACACCTCCTCCAGCTGCGCCAAGTACACCTTCTCCAGCTGCAGCTGGCGATGCAGCGCGAGCAGCTGGAGGCGGAGGCGACCTCGGTGGACTGCATCATGAAGTCCCACCAGACCCCGAGCTGGACCAGGAGATGGACGCGCTCTTCTGGGCCGCGCAGCGCGTGGACAAGCGGATCTTCCACGTTCAGCTTGCTGAGCTGCTGGCCAAGCGGCAGCGCTTGGGGTAACCCGCCACTTTTACCTAGATGCTGTGGTTTTCGCCTGACGCGCGCAGGCACTGCGCAGCCTCCCCCCGCTCCTCCTCGCCTCGACCCCGATTGTGAGGGCTCGTCTGGCTATGGCGAAGTGCTGGCGTCCCATAACGGCAACTCTTGGGGGACCCTGAAGGACAGGCTGGCGGCCAGTTCGGCCCTCATTGTTCTGGCCCAAGAGGTGGGGTTCACTGAGGACTCTCTGGGTGAGAAGTGCGCGGCCGTGGGTAAGTTGGGGTGGAAAATGCTGGCCTCCCCGTCGACGGTTGGGGCCGAGGGTAGGCCCAAATGGGGGG